TGGGGGGACTGGGAGGGACTGGGGGGACTGGGAGGGACTGGGGGGCACTGGGAAGCTCTTGGGGGCCAACTGATGAGTACTGGGTGGTTACTGGGAATGACTGGGTGGTTACTGGGAAGAACTGGAAACAATGGAAGGGGATGGGGGAGCACTGGGGGCACTGGGAGGTTACTGGGAGGTCAGTGGGTGGTCACTGGTTGGTTACTGGGAGGCACTGGGATGTTACTGGGAGCACTGGGAGGCAGTGGGTGGTTACTGGGAGGCACTGGGAGACACTGAGAGGTAACTGGGAGGCACTGGGAGGTTACTGGGAGGCACTGGGTGGTTACTGGGAGCACTGGGAGGAAGTGGGTGGTCACTGGTTGGTTACTGGGAGGCACTGGGATGTTACTGGGAGCACTGGGAACTGGGAGCACTGGGAGGCCCCACCGCACCCCCCGTGTCCCCCCAGTGACCAAGACCAACCTGTCGGTGCACGAGGACAAGAACCGCGTGCCCTACGTCAAGGTGAGGGGGGGAGGGGCCGGGGGGGAGGGGCTGGGGACCCCCCGTGGGCACCCCCGGGGTGGGGGATGGGCTCTGAGCCCCCCCAGGTCACTCAGGGTGGGGGATGGGCTCTGACCCCCCACCCCCGCCCCCCCAGGGCTGCACCGAGCGCTTCGTGTCCAGCCCCGAGGAGATCCTGGATGTCATCGACGAGGGGAAATCCAACCGGCACGTGGCTGTCACCAGTGAGCGACACGGGGACACGGGGACACGGGGACATGGGGACACCATGGGGACGGGGGGGCACTGGGGAGGGCACTGGGGGGGCACTGGGAGCACTGGGGGCACTGGGAGTACTGGGAGGGGCTCGGGGGGGGCACTGGGAGCAATGGGAGGGCACTGGGAGAGTGTTCCCCCGGGAGGGTGGGACTTGGGGCCGTTCATGAGATTTTGGGGGGCGTTGGGAGGGGTGGGAGCATTTGGGGGGAGTCCGTGGAGTTTGGGGGATATTGGGGTTTGGGGTTATTTTGGCCATTTTTGGGGCCATTGGGGTTTTTGAGGCCACCGGGGTTTGGGGACCAATGGGTGTTTTGGGGGCGTTGGGGTTTATTTGGGCCATTTTTGGGTTTTTTTGGGGGGTCATTGGGGGGTTTTGGGGCCGTTAGGGCCATTTTTGGGGCCGTTGTGGTTTGGGGCTGTCAGGTTTCAGGACTGTCAGTTTGGGGCGGGGGTCCCTGGGTGCTGGCACTGGGGTCTCCTGCCTGGTGCCACCCTGGGGTGGGGTCTGCGACCATCCCTGGGGGGGTCCCTGGGGGAGGGGGGCACTTGGGGGGTCCCTGAGCCGCCCCCTCCCCCAGGTGAGCAAGACAGGGGCTGAGGGGGCTGTGCTGGACGAGGCCAAAAACATCAACAAGTCCCTGTCGGCGCTGGGCAACGTCATCTCGGCGCTGGCCGAGGGCACGGTGAGACCCCCGAGCCCCCCATGTCCCCAACCCGAGCCCGCTGTCCCCCGTGTGTCACCCTGTCCCCCCGCTGTCCCCATGTCCCACTCCCGTGTCCCCCTGAGCCCCCTGCCCCTGTGTGTGTCCCCCTGAGCCCGCTGTCCCCCGTGTGTCCCCAGCCCCAAGCCCGTGTCCCCCGTGTGTCCCCAACCGGAGCCCCCTGCCCCCTGCACCCCGCGGGGGCTGCGCTGGGGTCCCCAGGGAGGGAGGGGAGAGGGGAGGTGACCCCCGTGGAGTGACCCTGGGGTGACCCTGGGGTGCCCGGTGAGGGGAGCAGGGGTGCCAGTTTCGGGGTGCCAGTTTCGAGGGGCAGTGGTGCCAGTTTTGGGGTGCCAGTTTTGGGGGGCAGTGGTGCCAATTTCGGGGGGCAGTGGTGCCAGTTTCGGGGTGCCAGTTTCGGGGTTCCCGGTTTCAGTGGGCAGGGGTGCCAGTTTTGGGGGCAGGGGTGCCAGTTTTGGGGGCAGGGGTGCCAGTTCCGGGGTTCCCCGTCTTGGGGGGCAGGGGTGCCAGTTCCTGGGTGCCAGTTTCGGGGTGCCAGTTTCGGGGTGCCAGTTCCTGGGTGCCAGTTTTGGGGGGCAGGGGTGCCAGTTCCGGGGTTCCCGGTTTCGGGGGGCAGTGGTGCCAGTTTCGGGGTGCCAGGTCCGGGTGCCCCCAGGGCCAAGACCATCAAGAACACGGCCTCGGTGAACCTGGAGCTCACGGCCGAGCAGTGGAAGAAGAAGTTCGAGAAGGAGAAGGAGAAGAACAAAGCGCTGCGGGAGACGCTGCAGCGCCTGGAGGCCGAGCTGGGCCGCTGGAGGAGCGGTGAGGGGCACCCCGAGACCGGGGGCACCCCGAAACCGGGGGGACCCCGAAACCGGGGGGGACCCCGAAACCTGGGGGGGATCCCGAAACCTGGGAGACCCAGAAGCCTGGGGGGAACCCTGGGGCACCCCGAAACCTGGGCGAGACCCCAAAACCTGGGGGGGACCCCGGGGCACCCCGAAAACTGGGGGCACCCCGAAACCTGGGGGAGACCCAGAAACCTGGGGGGAACCCTGGGGCACCCCGAAACCTGGAGGGGACCCCGAAACCTGGGGGGACCCTGGGGCACCCCGAAACCTGGGCGAGACCCCAAAACCTGGGGGGGACCCCGGGGCACCCCGAAAACTGGGGGCACCCCGAAACCTGGGGGAGACCCAGAAACCTGGGGGGAACCCTGGGGCACCCCGAAACCTGGGCGAGACCCCAAAACCTGGGGGGGACCCCGGGGCACCCCGAAAACTGGGGGGCACTCCGGGGCACCCCACCATCCCCTCAGCCCTGCTGGGGACACTGAGGCACAGCGTGTCCCCTGGGGGGGGGACTGGGGGAGCCGGGAGGGGCATCCGGAGATGTGGGGGGACCCCAGCCCTGGGGAGGGGACCCCAAATGTGGGGAGGGGACCCCAATTGTAAAATGGGAACCCCAACTCTGGGGAGGGGACCCATTTGTGGGGAGGGGACCCCAGATGTGAGAAGGGGACCCCAACTCTGGGGAGGGGACCCAGTTGTGGGGGGGGGTGTCCCAGAGGGGACCCTGGGGCACCCCGAAACCTGGGCGAGACCCCGAAACCGGGGGGGACCCCGGGGCACCCCACCACCCCCCCGGAGCTGCTGGGGACACTGAGGCACAGAATGTCCCCTGGGGGGGACTTGGAGGAGCCAGGAGGGGCATCCGGAGCTGTGGAGGGACCCCAGATGTGGGGAGGGGGCCCCAATTGTGAAATGGGGACCCCAACCATGGGAAGGGGACCCAGCTGTGGGGAGGGGACCCCAAAAGCCCCCAGCCCCCAGAGGAGACCCCGAGGCCGTGTCCTTCACGGGGAGAGGCTGAGCAGTGGGGGACCCCCACCCTGCTGGGACCCCCACCCCTGTTGGCACCCCCAGCCCTGCTGGGACCCCCACCCTGGGGCCCCCCCGAGCTCGGGGGGCACCCCCAGCCCCGGGGGGGGGCTCTGAGGCCGCGTCCCCCCCAGGCGAGGCCGTGCCCGAGACGGAGCAGCTGAGCGAGGCCGAGGCGGGCACGGGCCCGGGCGAGGGCACGGGGGGGGCCCCCGAGGAGCCCCCCCTGAACGACAACAGCTCCTCCATCGTCATCCACATCTCGGACGAGGAGCGCCACAAGTACGAGGAGGAGATCCGCAAGCTCTACAAGCAGCTGGATGACAAGGTGGGGACCCCCCGGGCTGCTGGGGACCCCCCGGACCTGCCAGGGACCCCCCCGGTATGACCTGTGGGACCCCCACCATGCCCCCTGTGTCCTGCTGTGACCCGGTATCCGGTGTCACCCGGTATCCGGTGTCACCCGGTGTCCCGCTGTGTCCCGGTGACCCAGTGTGTCCCGGTGTGGGGTGTCCCGCTGTGACCCGGTGTCCCGGTGTGTCCCGGTGTGACCCGGTGTGTCCTGGTGTGTCCCGGTGTCCCGCTGTCCCGGTGTGTCCCGGTGTCCCGGTGTGTCCCGGTGTCCGGTGTGTCCCGGTGTGTCCCGGTGTGTCCCGGTGTGGGGTGTCCCAGTGTGACGTGGTGTCCCGGTGTGTCCCGGTGTCCCGGTGTGTCCCGGTGTGTCCCGGTGTGTCCCGGTGTGTCCCGGTGTCCCGTGGGTCCCGGTGTCCCGGTGTGTCCCGGTGTGTCCCGGTGTGTCCCGGGAGGGACAGGGACACTGGGACAGGGACAGGGACACTGAGACAGACACAGGGACAGGCACATGGACAGGGACAGGGACGGGCACTGGGACCCACACCAGGATGGGACAGGGACAGGGACAGGGACAGACTCTGGCACAGGGACAGGGACACTGGGACAGGCACTGGGACAGGGACAGGCACAAGAACAGCCAGGACAGACACTGGGACAGGCACCAGGGCCTAGGACACTGGGACAGACACTGGGACAGGGACAGGGACAGACACTAGGACAGACACTGGGACAGGCACAGAGACAGACAGCAGGACAGGCACTGCGACAGACACTGGGACAGACATAGGGACAGGGACGGGGACAGACAGTCGGACAGACACAGGGACAGGCACTGGGACAGGCACCAGAGCGCAGGACACTGGGACAGACAGCAGGACAGACAGCAGGACAGACACTGGGACAGGCACAGGGACAGACACGGGGACAGACACAGGGACAGGCACCAGGGCCCAGGACACTGGGACAGACAGCGGGACAGGCACTGGGACAGACAGCAGGACAGACACCGGGACAGACACTGGGACATGCACTGGGACAGCAGGGCATCAGTGAGGCTGGGAGCCCAGTGGGGAAAACAATGGGAAATCCTACAGGGAAATCTGTGGGAAACCAATGGGGAAATAAATGGGAAATCCCACAGGGAAACCAATGGGGAAACCCAACTGGGAAACCCTACAGGGAAACCAGTGGGGAAAACAACAGGGAAAGAAACCAGTGGGGAAAACAATGGGAAACCCTACAGGGAAATCTGTGGGAAACCAATGGGGAAATAAATGGGAAATCCTACAGGGAAATCTGTGGGAAACCAATGAGAAAACCTACAGGGAAACCAATGGGGAAAACAACAGGAAACCCCACAGGGAAATCTATGGGGAAACCAATGGGGAAATAAATGGGAAATCCTACAGGGAAACCAACGGGGAAACCCAACTGGGAAACCTAACTGGGAACACAACAGGGAAACCAATGGGAAATCCTACAGGGAAACCAGTTGGAACCCTACAGGGAAATCCATGAGAAACCTTACAGGGAAACCAATGGGGAAACCAATGGGGAATCCAACTGGGGAAATCTAATGGGAACCCTACAGGGAAATCAGTGGGGAAACCCAACTGGGAGCCCAGTGGGGAAAACGATGGGAAAATCTACAGGGAAATCTGTGGGAAACCCTACAGGAAGTCTGTGGGGAGACCCAACTGGGAAACCAGTGGGAACCCTACAGGGAAACGAACCAGGAAACCCAGTGGGGAAATCAATGGGAAACTCAACTGGGAACACAACTGGGAACCCAGTGGGGTCCTACTGGGAGCCCAGCAGGGAAACACCACAGCAAAACCTCCATGGGGTCCCCACCAGGACTCACAACGGGGTCCTGCTGGGGATTCCCACAGGAACCCGGTGGGGATTTCCAACAGGATCCTACTGGGAATCCAGCTGGGAACCCTGCACTGGGAATTCCGTGGGGTCCTGCTGGGAGCCCAACAGGAGTCCCAGTGGGGTCCCAGTGGGGTCCCAGTGGGGTCCCAGTGGGGACTCAGCTGGGATCCCTGCTGGGACTCCCCCACTGGGAACCCCAAAGTGGCTCTGGGAACCTGCTGAGAGCCCCCTGGGCACCCCAGAGGGATTCCCAGCAGGATCCTACTGGGAATGCCCATGGCCAGTGGGGATTCCTGCTGGGGCTCCACACTGGGAGCCCCTGGGGGGGTCAGGCTGGGCCCCCCAATGGGCTCCCACCGAGAGTTGTCCTACATTTGGGATCCCTGCTGAGATCCCCCCTAGACCCCGCTGGTAACCCCAAACTGGCTCCTAACCCCAGTGGAAAACCCGTGTGGAGCCCATTGGGACCCCCCCGCTCTGACACAGCACCCCCAAAGCCCCCTCCCCCAGGCCCAGACTGGGGCCCCCAAACCCAAACTGGGATGCTGCGAGCCAGGGAAACCCCAAAACAGGAGCTTCAGACTTGGGAGCCCCTAAACCCCAAACTGGACCCCAAAGAGGGGGCTCCCCCTCCCATCAAGCCACACCCCAAAAAGAGACTCCCCCCGAGCAGAAGGGGGGATTCCCCTGCCTCAAACCAGTGCCCAAACTGGGGAACCCTGCCCTTGAACCGGGGTGCCAGGCTGGGTGCTCCCCTCGGGTGGCACCTTGGGGTGCTGGGGGTGCCAGGCTGGGCGGGACTGGGTGGTGCTGGATGGTTCTGGATGGTACTGGGCGGTACTGGGTGGTACTGGGCACCACTGGGTGGTACTGGGCGACACTGGGCAGCACTGGGTGATGCCAGGGCGTGCTGGCAGTGCCCGGTGTGGCTGCCCGGGCGGGGGGGCTCAGGCAGGGGCAGGGCATGCTGGGTGTGCGGGCACAGGGGGTGCCAGGGCTGTGGGGGCACAGGGGGCACAGGGGGCACAGGGGGGGTGCCAGGGCTGTGGGGGCACAGGGGATGCCAAGCTTGTGGGGGGCACAGGGGGTGTCGGCAGTGTTGGGGTGCTCAGGTGCGGGGGTGCCCGGGGGGCCCGCAGGATGTCCTGGGTGTGCCCTCCTGGCCCGGGGGGGTCCCGGGGGGGTGCCGGGTGCCGTGCCCGCGGTGCCAGCGCTGTCGCTGTGGCAGGCCACCACGCTGTCGCTGGAGTCGGAGCTGTCGCGGGCGCGGGAGCTCGGGGGGCAGCAGCGGCGCCGCGCGGCCGAGGTGCTCAACGGGCTCCTGCGGGACCTGAGCGAGCTCAGCGCCCTCGTGGGCAGCGGCGACATCAAACTGGTGAGGGCACGGGGGCACGGGGGCACGGGGCAGGGGGAGAGGGGGGTCTGTGCCATGCAGGATGTGCCCCTGCCGTGCCTTCCTCGAGTGTGGGGTGTCCCTGCCCTGCCTGTGCCACCCGTGCCGTGCAGTGCCCGCAGCAGAGCCGTGCCATGTCACACCCAGCTGTGCCGTGCCCATCCCGTGTCCCTCCCATGCCCATTCCGTGTCCCTGTCACCATACCCCAGTGAGTGTCACGCCCACCCCGTGCCAGCTGTGCTGCCTGTGCCATGCCATGCCCCTGCACTGCCCACGCCATCCCCATGCCATGCCCCATGTGTACCATCCCCTGTGCGTGCCATCCCCGTGCCACACACGTGTGCAGGACATGCCTGTGCCACACTGTGCCTGGGACAGGCCTGCAGCATTCAGTGCCATGCCACGCCACACCCATGTGCCACGCCGTGCCATGCCATGCTGTACCTGTGTGTGGTACACACCTGTGCCATGTTGTGCCATGCCATACCCATGCTGTGCCATACCCACACTGTGCCATGCCATGCCCGTGTCATGCTGCACCTGTGTGTGGTACACACACTGTGCCATGCTGTGCCGTACCATGCCGTGCCATACCCACACTGTGCCATTCCTGTGCTGTCCCATGCCATGCTGTGCCGTGCCATGTCATGCCCACTCTGTGCCATTCCTGTGCTGTGCCATGCTGTGCCATGCTGTGCCATTCCTGTGCCACTCTTGTGCCATTCCTGTGCTGTGCCATACCCACACTGTGCCGTGCCATGCCATGCTGTGCCATGATGTGCCATACCCACGCTGTGTCATTCCTGTGCTGTGCCATACCCACTCTGTGCCATACCCACTCTGTGCCATTCCTGTGCCATGCCGTGCCATACCCACTCTGTGCCATACCCACTCTGTGCCATTCCTGTGCCCCGTGCCGTGCCGTGCCGTGCCGTGCCAGCCGGTGGAGGTGAGCGGGGCCATCGAGGAGGAGTTCGCCGTTGCCCGGCTCTACATCAGCAAGATCAAGTCGGAGGTGAAGTCGGTGGTGAAGCGCTGCCGGCAGCTGGAGAGCCTGCAGGTGGAGTGCCACCGCAAGCTGGAGGTGACGGGCCGCGAGCTGTCCTCCTGCCAGCTCCTCATCTCCCAGGTGTGCCAGGCGGGCAGCGCCTGCCGGGGCACCCGGGCTCTGCTGGCACAGGGTTTAGCGGCTCCGGGGTCTGGGGGCTCAGTTTTGTGTCCCTGGGATTTGGTGGCACCAGGCTTTGGTGGCCCCAGAGTTTGGTGGCCAGGGGTTCTGTGACCCAGGGTTTGGTGGCCCAAGATTTAGTGGCTCCGGGGTTTGGTAGCTCAGGGTTTTGTGTCCCTGGGATTTGGTGCCACCATGGTTTGGTGGCTCCAAGATTTGGCAGCTGAACGCTTTGGTGTCCCAGAATTTGGTGGCCTGAGAGATTCTGTGACCCAGGTTTTGGTGGCCCCAGGGTTTGGTTTCCCTGGGGTTTGGTGGCCCTGGATTTCTCAGCCCTGGGTTTGGTGCCACCACATTTTACTGGTCCAAGGGTTTGGTGGCCCTGGGGTTCAGGGGGCCTGGAGTTTGGTGGCTCCAAGGGTTTGGTGACCCTGGGGGTTTGACTGCCCTGGGGTGGGGGCTTGGTGGCCCTGGGCGTGCCAGTGGGGGTGGCCCTGGGGGTGCTGGGGGG